TGTGTCTTCATTGATGTTTCTCTCTCTCCCTCCCTTTCTCTCCCAGTCTCTCTAAAATAAAAATTTTTAAAAATCAATGGAAAAAATATCATCGGGTGAGAATTAACAACAACAAAAAGTTTTTTTTTTGATTCATTGCTCTATTCTTCTCTTAAAATATTTATATTTTATTGATTTCAAAGAGGAAGGGGGAAGGAGAGAGACACAGAAGCATCTATGATGAGAGAGAATCATTGATCGCTGCCTCCTGCACACCCCCTGCTGGGGACCGAGCCTGCAACCTGGGCCTGGGCCCTGACCAGGAATCGAACTGTGACCTCCTGGTTCATAGGCCGATGCTCAACCACAGAGCCACACAGGCCGGGCTCTGGGTGTTGTTCTCCATGAAGCAGCAGGCAGGGCAAGAACTGGATGGTTCTGTGTCCCACCAGCCAAGCCACTGGGGGAACTGACCCTCATCCTTTCCTGTACGTCTGGCTCTCTCTGCCACCAGCATGTCCCTTGGCGCCCGCACCCTCCCCTGTGGATCTCAGAGGTGCCTGCCGTGGTGGGCACAGCCTCCCGAGGGCCCCCGTGGGTTGGGCCACTCCTCCTCCCCCTCCATGGGGCCTGTGTTTACAGAGGACCATTGATCCAAGCACAGAGCGAGGGGGGGGCACACGGGGTCACGGGGACCAGCTCGCTCTCCTGAAATTCCGCAGGCTCTCCGCAGCCCCCCAAGCCCCCCTCATTGCTCCTAAGCCCCCAGGAGACAGAGCAGCCAGCCTAGGTGTCTTCTCCTATCGCCCATGAGATTTAAATTGCCGGGGAGGCAGTAATTTATGTTCCCCGGGGCAGGTGGTCATAAATCATGGGAAGCGAAGCAAACGGTGTCCAGACGCCTCCTGGCTCGAGGGGTGGGATGCTCAGAGCCACACTGTCCCCCCCTCCATGTCTCGTGGTGCCCGGGGGGCAAGTTCTCAGCAGGGAGGCCTCTCCCTGGCCTTGCCTCCCGATGCTGCCACCCACGGCGGGGCACGGGGGCCTGTGTGTTCAAGACCTCAGCCCGGAGGCCCACGGAGGCCGTCCACTGGCAGGAACCGATCAGGAAGGAATTAATCTTACCTTTTATTTTTTATTATTTAAAAATATATCTTTATTGATTTCAGAGAGGAAGAGAGAGAGAAGCATCAATGATGAGAGAGAATCATGGATCGGCTGCCTACTGCACGCCCCCTACTGGGGCTGGAGCCCACAACCCGGGCACGTGCCCTGACCGGGAATCAAACTGTGACCTCTTGGTTCCCAGGTCAATGCTGAACCACTGAGCCACGGTGGCCAGGCAGCCTTTCCTTTCCTACGTGACACTGAAAGGAAACGTTCTCCGGGTGGAGGGGGCAGGAGGAGACTCTTGCCATGATATTCCCACCCATCTGCTCGCTCTTCCTGGGGCCTCTCGCGTCTGCTGCCTGGCACAGGTACCCGTACCGCTGCCAGCAGAGGGTTTTACTCACCAGCACATCCATCGGCCCCGCAAACGATGATGGGTCACCAGTGACCTTGGGCCCACGCTGGGTGGGAGCAGCCGAAGGGACTTGGACACAGTACCTGGCCTCCGGGGACTCCCCATCTTGTAGAACAGAGGCAGGCGCCCCAAACTACCCGACCAGGCACGTGAGGGCCGGAGGGGCCGGTGGAGAAAGCTGCAAAGGGGCAGTGACTCCTGGGGGGGGTGGTCCTGGGCTTCCTCCCTGGGGGGTGCACCATTGAGCTGGGCCTTGAGGACGAGGTAGAATTTGAATACACAGGGATCTGGGAGGAGCATCCTGCAGGAATTTCAGAAAAATCACCAAACCAGTCAAATGCAAAAGGGACAGGATATGGAGGACTCCTGGGCAGAGCCGCCTAAGGGCATGGAAGGGGTAGGGGGGACAGGTTTGAAAAGGCTGGCGAGGGCAGGTAAAGGCTGTGGCACACTAGACTGAAGCGTGGGAAGGTTCTTCTTTAGGCCAGTGATCGGCAAACTGCGGCTCGCAAGCCACATGCGGCTCTTTGGCCCCTTGATTTTGGCTCTTCCACAAAATACCGGCTCTTCCACAAAATACCGACTTCTGCGCATGGGCCACGAAGTTTCAATCGCACTGTATGTGCGCGCCCGCATGTGGTATTTTGTGGAAGAGCCACACTCAAGGGGCCCAAGAGCCGCATGTGGCTCGCGAGCTGCGGTTTGCCAACCACGGCTTTAGGCCCTCATGAGCCACTGAACATGTCCCGGCCCAGGCATGATCGGACCAGAGCAAACTTACAGAAGTCATGTAGTCTGGTGTCAACGATGAATTGGAAGGGAGGAGGAGGGAGAGGGAGGACGAGAGGCTAGGTAAGACTTAGCCCCGTGGTCTGGGCAATGCTGGAAGCAAGCTTGTGATTGGGGGAGAAAAGGGGCCAAGTTCAGATGGTGGGGGGCGGGAAGGACTCAGGACTGGGCCGCCGTGGACAAGTGCTGGACAGCCGGGGCCAAGGTGGGAGGGATGGGCTCCGAGTGGCCGGTGGGATGGTGGTTCCGCTGACAGAGGTGAGGAGCCAGGAGGAGGGATGTCTGGGAGAAGGAAGGTGATGACGGATGTCTAAACATCAGATACAGGGAACGTTACCTGGAGGAAAGATGCGGGGATGTGGCCGCTGCTTGCACTTCCGCGGTGTGCGCACTGGGAGGCGCTGTTCTGTTTGCCGGGGATGGCGCTCCCTGGAGCTGGGCCGCATGGCCCGGTGGGGTTGGCTCTCACCTCAGCGGAGAGGAAACCAGATATTGCTTGAGCTCTCGCTTCTGTGTGGCTGTCACTCATCATGGTCTCTCTCCTACTGTAGTTACCGCCTGTGTGACCCTTCTCAACAGAAACTGTACGGAAAATCGCCTCTCTTTGGACAGTACTTGGTTCCGGAAAACCCAGGGACAATCAAAGTGGGAGACACCGTGTACCTGCTGGACCAGTAATGGGAACCCCAGGTCCCGGGGTGGCAGGTGCCTTGAAAAGCTGTCCTCGGAAATGCCACCCCTTGACATAACAGTATTTTGGAGCTGCTGCCTCTGCGTTTGCTTGAGATCGGTGATTTCCGCGTCTTTGCTCTGGTGGACTTCCTTGTGTCTCGATGTTTCCAGAGGCTCCAGGCAAAAAAAATATAGTCTCCATAACTGAGTGGGACTTCAGGAAGTCACCTGACGGGCGTCTGAAAATTCAGTGTTAAACTATGATGGTGGAGTAATTCTTTCTCCTTCCTGTTTATTCCTCTCCCTGGAGCGCTCACCTCCGTCATGTCATTGCCCCCTCAGGG